TCTGATTTTAAAAAAAAAAAAATTGTTTTAATACAAATGAAATCCGTCTAGGTGTGGACAACTCCTGCTTGAAAGCTTATGAGTTAATATCTGAAAATTAAGAATTGTATAAACTAGGTTGGCTAGTTGAACAGATTTATTTTGCTTATTCCCTTGCTCCAACGGTTTATGTATCTTTACTTGAAGTAAACATGTAATAAATATCGACTAACTGGGTTTTGTATTGTTCTTTATTACAAGTGACATTGCTTTAAAGTATACTAAGAGGAGGAAGAGGATTTGAAACGCAAACGGTTGGAAAGTAACTTAACTAAATAGAGAAACCTCCAGTTCAATTGTTCCAAATACAATCGACGAGAAAGCATTTCTACCAGCAATGGGTGAAGATCCTATCCCAAATACATTAGTTTCGTGTAGCCGTGACAAAGTACTTTCCTCTCCTTTATCTCTTGTATTGTACGTAAGGTAAATTTAGCTCGGACAACTTTGAAATTCAGGGTCCATCCCTGGATAAACAAGACGACTGTTATAAGAACAGGTGATTAGGCAATAACAAAATATGGCACATGAACATGATGATATAGCAAGTTGACTTAGTAGCCCAACAAAAAAACTTTTTTTTTTCTTTATAAACAATAAATCCTAATGGTTAACGGATTCGGTCAAGTCACACAATAAATCAGCTATAATAATTAGATATCAAACTCATCATACATATAACTCGAACTTAAAACCTACCGCATCGAACTTTTCATTTGACAAGCTAAATTGTAGTGCTTTTTGAATTGATCACATACGTAACAGTTTTGAGAAAGAAACAAAATATCATATTTATAACAAAATATTGATTTAGGACGGAAAAACAGACTATAGTCTATAGTCAAAGCATAAAAAACAGTTTAATTGGCTAGCTCCAGGGTATAAATTATACTTTAGAACCTGAGCTTATGCATGCTTGGGCAGGTGAGAAATTGACCAGCCAACACCCCATGCACATATAAAGATTTCATAGCTAATCGAGAAGCATCTTAACCAACTACATCTGTGTCCCTTTCCCCTTGTTTTCAAATATATACTGATAAAGTAGCTCCATGTTTGTAGCATAGTCATGTGGTCAAGCTTAACCAACTACATCTGTGTCCCTTTCCCCTTGGTGTATGCTTTTCGCAAACGATATAATGTTGATAGATGAAACTCAGGAAGGGGTAAATGCGAAGCTTAACCTTTGGAGAGAAGTGTTGGAATCTAAAGGTCTTCGCCTAAGCCGATCAAAGACAGAATATATGGAGTGCAAGTTCAGTGCAAATGGAGGCCAAAATGAGTTAGGGGTGAGGATCAGAGATCAGGAAATACCAAAGAGCGACCGTTTTCGCTACCTAGGATCTATCTTGCAAAAGAACGGAGAATTAGATAGAGATCTCAACCATAGGATACAAGCTGGATGGATGAAGTGGAAGAGTGCATCCGGCGTGTTGTGTGATCGTCGTATGCCACTGAAGCTCAAGGGAAAATTTTATAGGACAGCAATAAGGCCGGCGATGCTGTATGGCATAAAATGTTGGGCGGTGAAGCATCAACACGTACACAAAATGGGTGTAGCGGAGATGAGGATGCTTCGTTGGATGTGTGGGCACACGAGAAATGATAAGATTAGGAATGAGGATATCCGAGGTAAAGTAGAAGTAGCCGAAATTGTAGGAAAGCTGAGAGAAAAATCGGTTACGGTGGTTTGGACATGTGCAAAGAAGGCTTACTGACGCTCCGGTTAGAAGATGCGACTACGGGACAGAGGTTTAGGACCGAAGGGGTAGAGGAAGACCTAGGAAAACTTTGGAATAGACTCTAAGAAAAGACTTAGAGTACTTGGATCTAACGGAGGACATGACACAGGACCGAGCACAATGGCGTTCTAAGATTCATATAGCTGACCCTACTCAGTGACTTGGATTTTTCAAGTCTCCAACCGAGAAGTTTTCCTCACTCGGGAAATTAAGGGAGCACTACCTCAACCTACATGCTTCACTCACAAAGCTTCAACATACAAGTTTCAACAAAAGAAAAATTCAAAGAACTTAGTGAAGAAGGCCTTGGTGTATTTAACACAATACGTTGAAATGAAGCAAAACTTGTTTATTGATATCTCCGATAAGTTACAAATATGTACATATACATGAATCAAAATAAACAAACAAGAGGGAGCCTTCACAAAGGTTGCTCAGGAGAAGTCTCAGCAGTCGGCAGAGCCCCAGAAAGATAAGGCACCAGAGGGTGATTCATTCGGAGCCTCAGTACTAGGCAGAACCCCAGAAGGAGGAGGCACCGAAGGTTGATCATTTGGAGCTTCATTACGCGGTACAGCCCCAGAAAGACGAAGGCAATAAATGCCTTTGGAACAAACCCACAAACCTCTGATGATCAAGTAAAATCTGACCATCAGATTCCTGCAGCTGGTCGAGCTTCCTCTTCATGTTTGTAGCATAGTCATGTGCGAGCCTGTGCAACTGTTTATTCTCATGCTTGAGCCCTCTGATCTCCTGTTTGAGACTTATCACTTCAGCCGCCAATGATTCAACTTGGCGGGTTCGAGCAAATAGGCGTTGGGCCATATTAGACACAGAACCTGCACACTGAACACTGAGAGCCAGAGAATCCTTAACAGCCAACTCATCAGACCGTTTGGAAAGTAGTCTGTTATCTTTGGGAGTGAGAAGGTTCCTGGCCACCACCGCAGCGGTCATATCATTCTTCATCACAGAGTCCCCAACGGTAAGAGGACCAGTAGGGGATAAGAAGGATGGGCGCCATATGTTGTCTTGAGAAGGCATGGCTGCCTCTTCACCAAAGTTCAAGTCAAAACGACGGTCGGATGGGCCAGACATTCTCAAAAATGATGAAGGAGAAATGAGGTGCAATAAATCTCTGAAGTAAGGGGAAAATTCCTACAAGCAATAACTCTCTGAATGTACTTCTTGCACACAATTGGTGCCCTTATAAAAGAAAGGGCAACAAGGTCGTTGGTTCAAAAATCGAAGAGGCACCACTCTCCGGATTCCGAAGAGGCACCACTTTCCACACGCAACATCAGCTCTTCGGGTACCACAGATAACTTTGCCAAAGATCTCTGACAAAGTTTAGACACATAAATTTTGAAGGTCCAGCTACCCTACTATTACCCACAAGGGTAAAGGAACAGCACCACTGCTTGATAACTAGAAAGTCCCAATGTGTGTCAACCTCCGTGCTCCGTGGCAAGGCAGACTGGCAAAAATGCCCAACCTTTACTCACATTCAAGAAAACACTCCCAACAAGATTGCTTGCTCAAAAATCGAAGAGGCACCGCCCTCCGAATCTCGAGAGCCAGACTCCCAACAGGATTACTTTCTCAAAAATCGAAGAGACACTGCTTTCCAAATCTTAAGAGTCAGACTCCCAACAGGATTGCTTTCTAAAAAAATGAAGAGGCACTGCTCTTCGAATCTCGAGAGCCAGACTTCCAACAGGATTACGTGCTCAAAAATCGAAGAGGCACCGCCCTCTGAATCTCGAGAGCCAGACTCCCAACAAGATTACTTTCTCAAAAATCGAAAAAGACACTGCTCTCCGAATCTCAAGAGTCAGACTCCTAACATGATTGCTTTCTCAAAAATTGAAGAGGACACCGTTCTCTGAATCTCGAAAGCCAGATCCCCGACAAGATTGCTTGTTCAAAAATCGAAGAGGCACCGCTCTCCGAACTTCGAGAGCCAGATTTCCTTTGGATAAAGCTTGTCTGCAATCTTCACACGCAACATCAGCTTTCCAGATACCACATACCACTTTTTCAAAGTGCTCTGACAAAGTTAAAACACGTGAAGCTTGCAGCTCCCACTACATTGCTATGACCAAGAAAGGGTAAAGACCTATATATGTCGACCTCCATCCTCCACAGCCTAGGCAGACCTGCAAATAAAAAAAATTGCTCAACTTTTCTTCACATCCGAGAGGGCACTCTCAGCAGAGTCTCTCGAAATACTCAGCTTCTTTTTCCTCCCTGATAATACCTCTGCAAACAAGCCACACCAGAGCAAGCAAGAGTATCTCATATCATCAGGGTTAAAAGCAAGAGTATGCCATATCATGCTTTTTCCCTATCTTTTCCTTTGGCCTTGTTCTTACCTGCAAGACAAGGAGAAAGAGAGCAATCAGTCAGCACTTGGAATCAAAGCTTCCTAAGTCAGGAACTGACTGCCTGGAACCCCTTGCCTGATTACTTACCTGGCATTGCTCTCGAAGTACTCATCTTCAACATCTTATGCTTCCAGTGAAAGATACCACATCTGCCTGAGGAACAGATAGGGCAAGTGAGAAGGATACAAGGAAGCATGTGGAGACAAGCGTAACAGAACACGTGCCGATACATCCACTACTTTGTCAACAGCAAAAGTATCTCATATCATCAGGGTCGAACGTACTCTAGATTTGATGGACTTGTTTTGACCCTCAAATTCTTGAGTCGGCCTTATACTCTGGAGGAAACCAGAAAATCCTCCAGCCCAGTTCAAGAATAAGCCATGTGGAAAGTTTACTTCTTCAAAAGCAAAAGTATCTCATATCATCTCTTCTCCATTTGCTTCTCCTTATCCTTGTTGCTGTTTACGACACAAGGAGAAGGAAAACAATCAACGGAAGCCGAAGTTCGAACCTCCGATCCAGGTTGCTTGCTTGGAAGTCTGATTGCTTACCTTGTCTGTTACCTCCTTCGGCAAATCTCCTAGCTCGGCGACTTGGGGAGACTCCTACTATAGGGTTTGTATCGCACTTGACCAAGCCCTGAAACTACAAGTAAGCTTCAAGTGAAATTGATACATTACCTTGTGCATCTTTCATCGGTTAAAGATACCACCCCTGGATGGAGGAAAAGTACTTCCAGAGAAGATGCCACATCTACATATGAGACAGATAAGGCAAGTGAAAATGATACCACACTTCGGTACTTAGAAGTTTCGTGATTACTCAATAGCTTGGATCTTGCAAGTCCCCAACCGAGGAGCTTCCTCACTCGGGAACTTAGGGGAAGCACTGTTTATACCATACTTGACCAATCCCGAAACTACTGAGCACCGGTCAACGTTATACTATCAAGGACCTAGAAGAGTTTCCCTCCAACCAGGAGGCCAATCACAGCGCGACACATGTCGACATCAGAAGCCAATCATAGCGCAACATGTGTTCAACATCAGAAGCCAATCACAACACGACACGTGTCAATGTCAAAATGAAACTAGAAACTCTCTTCTATAAATAGAGATCATTCTCTCACAATATTTCCTAATGTCATTTGTACTAAATCATTCACTAGTACTCACTAAATGAGAGCTTGAACCTATGTACTTGTATAAACCCTTCACAATTAATGAGAACTCCTCTACTCCGTGGACGTAGCCAATCTGGGTGAACCACGTACATCTTGTGTTTGCTTCTCTGTCCCTATCCATTTACATACTTATCCACACTAGTGACTGGAGCAATCTAGCGAAGGTCACAAACTTAACACTTTCTGTTGTACCAAAGTCCTTGCTGATTTTGTGCATCAACAAAGTTCAATTTCAACGACTTTTCCTTTTGCTTTAATTCATTGTGATATTTTAGGCTCGAATTGTCAATCTTCCCTTTTTGTAGCTCATTATTTTTTAACCATTGTGGATGATTTTGCTCACTTTACGTGGGTCTTTCTCATGAAACATAAATTGGATACTCAACAATTAATCAAGGATTTTTTTTGCTTATGTCAATACCCAATTCCATACTAAAATCTAATGCATTCATACTGATAATGGAGGTGAATTTTTTTTTCTCTTCGTAATTTGTTCTCAGACAATGGGGTCCTTTTTTCAAACTTCTTGTGTTTTATACCCCTTAACAAAATGGCGTTGTTGAATGAAAACATAGGCACCTCTTTGAGACTGCTCGCGCCTTTTGTTTCCAATCATATGTTCCTCTAAAATTTTGGGGTGAATGTGTTTCTTACAGTTGCTTATCTAATAAACCCTCTCTTCTCCATAATAAATCTCCTTTTGAGGTTCTTCATAACAAAACCCTAACCTATGACCATTTCCATGTCTTTGGTTGTCTAGCCTATGCCACCACTGTCATTCACAAAACTAAATTTTCCCCTCAAGCCCATTATCGCATCTTCCTTGGTTACCCTAATGGACAGAAAGCATACAAACTATACGACCTATACAATCACCGCACTCTGACCAATAAGGATGTAATCTTTCATGAAGATTCCTTCTCTTTTGCCGTTAACCCCACCCCTACCCCATCCCCCATGCCTACACTGTCTCTTCCCTCTCCTCTGGACCTTTCCTATCCACCATCTCTTGACACCACGCCACCTTCCCATACTGCCACCTCACCCAGCTCCACTTTCATGCCCCCTTCCAATGCTGCCACCTCACCTTTCCACCCTCCCACCACTACACTCCCAACCCCACTTACTCCTTCCAACGATACTACCTCAGATTCCACCCAACTACCCACGGACCCCCTCATCTCCCAGCCACACCTCATCCTGACATTCCCCATACCCAACGAACTTCTTCCCGTACCCATAAACCCCAATCCTATTTAAAAGACTACATTTGCTTGCAGGTGATTCTGCCACCACACCAATCCTCAACTTCGCAACTCGATTCTTCAAAAGGTACGCGATATCCACCTTGTAATTTTATTTCTTACCACCGTTACTCTCCCAAACATCTTTCATATATTTACTCTATTAGTAGGAATGTGGAGCCATCATCCTTTACCAAGGTTGCCAATGACCCTAATTGGCGTCGTGCCATGAATGAGAAGCTTCAAGCTTTACATGCCAATGGTACTTGGACTTTAACTACCTTGCCCCCTGGCAAAGTTCCCATTGATTATAAGTAGGTGTACAAACTGAAGTATAATTATGATGGTTCCATTGAGACTTATAAAGCTCGCTTAGTTGCTAAAGGTTACACACAGGCTGAAGGTATTGATTATCATGACATTTTTTTCTCCTACTGCTAAGATGATTACGATGCGTTGTCTTCTTTCTCTTGCCACTAGTGAGTCTTGGTCTCTTCATCAGCTCCATGTTAATAATGCTTTTTTGCATGGTGACTTGCATAAGGAAATTTATATGTCTCCTCATCCTGGTCTTCGGCGATAAGGGGAGAATCTTGTGTGTTGCCTTCACAAGTCCCTTAATGGTCTCAAGCAGGCTTCTCGCCAATGGTTTGCCAAATTCACTAGTGCCATTCTTTTCACTGGTTTTCAACAATCCAAAGCTGACAATTCACTATTCACCAGAAAGTTCGGTACTTCTTTCACAGCCTTACTCATTTATGTGGATGATATTGTGATTACAGGCAACAACATTAGTGCCATTGATTCTTTGAACTCTATTCTCCGTGATCATTTTCGGATAAAAGACCTTGGTGATTTAAAATATTTTTTGGGTATTGAGGTTTCTTGATCCCAACGTGGAATTTATATTTCACATGTTCACAGCAATTAAAAAGCAATTAAAACGAGGGAAGAAAGAACTCTTAGAACTACCAAGGATGCAGGTGGCTTGTGCACAAGGTCCTCCTTCATCAATGGAAGGCACGACAAGGGTATCTTCTTCTCCAAAGTTGCGGCACAGGTTGTAGAAGGGTGTATAGGGTGCGGCAAGATATGTTTCTGAATGGTAGAAGGGTGGGGTGGACGAAATTGTGGCTGAAAATATGTATATATAGGTTCGGCCAAACCCTAGGGTGAATCAGATTAGGGTTATGAATTAGCACATTAAGAGAATTAGGGCCCTAGGGTGCGGCAAAGGTGTTTAAATCCACTAAGAACAAGGTTTGGCCCAATTAATTTCTGAAAAGGATTTGCATAACCCAAATCCACAAGGAAAAAGGCCAACTAAATCAGAATCCAATAGGAATTGGATGAGGAAGGGTGCGGCACACATTGGAGGGAAAGGGAATGGCTTGCAAGGCAAGGCAAAAGCCCTCTAGAAGGGAATAGGCGCCACTTTTGTAGGGTTTCTAAAAACAATGTGTTTTTGTGACAGACAAACACACACACGAAAATAGCTTAAATCACTATAATAAACACAAACTAACTACGAAAACGCACGAGACCAAGCTAACTAAGTCGCATAAATATGCTCCTATCAACTATGGCAGGTGCTTATGAGTTAATTTGGCTTCAGTTTTTGTTGAAGGATTTGAACATTCCTTTAGATGGTCCTTCCGTTTTATTTTGTGATAATCAAGCAGCGTTACATATAGCCACTAATCCTGTTTTTCATGAGCAAACTCGTCACATTGAGATGGATTGTCACTTTATACGATATAAGATTGCAGATGGCACTATAGAAACCAAGTATGTTGGTACGGCACACACCAATTGGCGGATTTGTTCACCAAGCCTCTCGGGAAGGAAAAGTTTTCGACTATGTTACACGAGTTGGGAGTTCTTGACATCCACTCTCCAAGTTGAGGGGGAGTGTTAGACAAGTAGAAACAACTTGAGGGGGATTGTAATCCTAATTGTAGTTGTATTCCTAACTTGTAGGGCTAATACGTTGTTGTGCAAAGAATGTAATTGTATATATTCTTATTCATGTATGAATGAAATATACTTTTCAGCCCACATATCTTTTTCTAAATTTTGACCATTTCATCCGAATAACCATTTACGGTAGGACTTGGCCAATTGATTCTTAGTCTTACAACCATACCAAGTTCCAACTACTACGTCCAGATAATCCAGCAAGGTACTAAAAGAAATTGCACAGCAGTAATCAAGGGCTAAACTGTTCTATACATACCATGAGCTCCGCTAGCTAGATCATCGACTCATCTCCAGCTTCTGCCAATTCAAGATACAAATATTTATGTTTCAAAAGAAAGTTATGTGCAATCGACTTTAAGCTGGTTCCATTCACATATAAGATGGAAAATAATACCTTTTCCTGGAACGATTACAACCGGAGCTGATTTACAGTTGCGCATGCAATACTCACTCACACTTCCTTGTAGTACACTGAAGAAATCCCAGCAATAAAGTGAGTAAATGAATTATGTGTGTGTGTGTGTGTGTGTGTGTGTGTGTGTGAGAGAGAGAGAGAGAGAGAGAGAGAGAGAGAGAGAGAGAGAGAGAGAGAGAGAGAGAGAGAGAGAGAGAGAGAGAGAGAGAGGAAGGGTACCTTTGAATGAATCCTCTGCCTCTGGTACCTAGGATCACAGCTGCTGGCTTTACTCGTTCTGCTTCCTTGCAAATTACCTTACCAGGATCCCCTTCCACAATCCGGGCACTAGTCCTTACCTACTTCCATAAATATTGTTTAAAATTTTGGATGTGAGAAATTCCAAATGCAAGAAAATAACTTACAGTTGGTTCTCATAATTGTCCACATTATTTACCTATAGAATAACAGTAAATACGTTATCTTGACAAATCTGTATTGTCAGATGTTTATATTACCAGAATATGAATACAAAAATCAGGCATTAATCGATAGCTCAGATTCATAGTATGTGGTAACCACACATTTTATGTTCTCAGACAGTTTGGCAAGTCAACATTTGCCGATAAAAACAGTTCAAGCTGCATTGGGGTATCCATTATTACTGTTATGATGCTATTTCGGCATTATCCAATTAATTCGACTAGATTACGCTTATTCAAGAGTGTAGGCAAATAATGGAACTCATTTATTTGATGCTGCAAATGACTACTCATCATGCCAACTTTACTTGAGAAATTGCAATGGCCAAAAGTTGTTTAAGTGCAATTTTATGTGCAATTTTGGATGCCCCAAATTAGATCATCAACAGTTGACATGTAAAATTAGACATGGCTAATGTTCCACACATGATTGAAAGGGCATTAAGTTACGCTTGCGCCAAGTACAACCCTTATTAGACTCACCATGGCAACTTCAAATGCCTCCATAGCAAGCTTCTGCATAAGCCCCTCGCTTGCATTGTAAACAATCTCGCTTTTCACATCTAATCACGAAAAAAATAAGAAGAGTTTAGCTCAAGATAACCGTCTAGGTACTGCATGATAGGAACAAACATATAACATGAGACTCATATGCATCTACGGTTGAATAAAAACAAATCTTTAATATGACACGTCCTATGAACTCTCTCGATACTCTCCTTGAAACAACGGGGTGGAACCCACGAACACGCCTCCCACCCCATTGTTAGAACAAAGTCTCATAGGACCTGTCTCACGGAAAAACCTCTTCACCACAATAATTATACAAAAGATTTAACACTCAAGGTGTGTAATTCAGATTCAAATTGAATACTAACATAAAAAAAAAATTAAAAAAAATGTAAAAATGTAAAAATACAGAACAATATCAAGAAAGCTTGCAAATGAAGAAATGAATTAACTCGAAACGGCATGAACAAGATGGATGGTATCCGCGAGCCTGCAGAAATGGATGAGAGCCCAATCAAAAGCGTGCTTGCTGTTGGGCCCATGATCCACAGCTATGACAATGTCACGGCCTCGCCTTCTCACAAGCTCCTCTCTCTCCAGCTCTGCGATTTGAAGCAGCTGTACTTCTCTCCACCTGTAAACTTCTTCGTCCTCCTTCACCGTCTCCAGCGCCATTATCGTATGATTAGCAGAACCGAATTAAGGATGATTTTAATGATGTGGGTTTCTTATGGCTTTTGGATTTGTTGTCGATTTGTATCTATTGGGATGTTTTGTTCGGGAATTCATGGGCTACGGTTTTGGTGCAGAACCGCCAGGCAGGAGACTTTGGGTGTGGTGTGTACGTGGATTCCCTTCCTTTGCTTTGCGTACCTTTTTTTTTTTCTTTTCCTAATAAACGATATTACACTAAGGGCGTGTTTGTTTGACCTTCTTAGGGGGGACTGGACTAGACTACACTAATTGGTATTGTAGTCTGATGTTTGGTAGGGGCAAGGATTACGTTTAATGGGATTAGATCCGACTCGCACGGATTAAACCCTTCGCTAGCAGTTCTTAGCGAACCACCCCAAAAACGTCCGGATTCGTAAGACCTCCTCCCTCACGTCGTCCTCCTCATCCTCATCTCTGCGTCCTGCTCGCCGTCAGCTGCATCCTGGTCGCCCTCATCTGCATCCTGCTCCTCATCTGTTCCTCTCGTCGTCCGCTCCCTCGTCTTCACGTAACAGATCTGCTCCGAGAGTTCTCCAAGGACAGCATTCGCCTCGTCAAGCGCTGCCACAAGCCCGATCGCAAAGGTAATTCAGCATTCGGGTCGGATCTGTGTTTTCTCACAAGTTATATTCTTTGATATGCATGTGTAATTGATGAGATTTGATGGTTGATTGTCGTGTAGAATTCTCCAAGGTCGCGCTCCGGACAGCGATCGGGTTCGTCGTGATGGGTTTCGTCGGGTTCTTCGTCAAGCTGATCTTCATCCCCATCAACAATATCATCGTTGGATCTGTTTAGGTATTTATTGGATCTAATCAAATCCATTGATTGAAAATTATTGATGGAAATTGTGGAGATTTGATTGGTTTGCTTGATCGATGTATGATTTGATTAGGTTGTTTATTAGTTGGAATTCGGATTAATTTGATTTTGGTAATTGTTGTTTGTTCAATTTTATAAACGAATCAAAAGTTTCGATGAGGAATGTAGTGGTTGAGTTGCATATGTATACACACACCACAGACGTTTGGTTTTTCTTCTATGCCAATATAGTTGAAATGGTTCTTTAATGTTGAGATTTTTATCAACTTTATGTTTAGATGTGTGCATCGCTCTTGGTTTTGAGTGTTTCATTCGGATTACGTTAATGGTTTGGAACGGATAGTCTGCATCGTGATATTTGGTAGAAATGGATGTGGTGAATCTGGTGATATGATCTAAATAGGGAGATCTTCTTGAGGCACGATTGATTAGTTTGAGTTCTGGTTTTACTCTGTTGCTCTATTATTCTGCTTTATGTGTCTTAGGAAATTGATACCGAATCAAGGACGTTTAACAGAATATTGATTCATAAAATTGGTCCAAAGATCTTGTATCTTGAATTTATTCGATTCGTATGTAATAATATAAGATTACGGTGTCATTTGTGTACTGTGTGTGCAAGGTGTATACAGTGTGTGTTTGTGTACTGTGTATGCAGTGTGTATGTATGCAGGGTGTATGCAGGGTGTATGCAGTGTGTGTATGTATGTATGCACTGTGTGTGTATTGCAGGGTGTGTGTGTAGTGTATGCAGTGTGTGTGTGTGTGTAGTGTATGTAGTGTGTGTGTGTGTGTGTGTGTGTGTGTAGTGTATGTAGTGTGTGTATGTATGTACTGTGTTTGCAGTGTGTATGTATGCAGTGTGTGTGTGTAGTGTATGTAGTGTGTGTGTAGTGTATGCAGTGTATGTAGTGTGTGTATGTATGTACTGTGTTTGCAGTGTGTATGTATGCAGGGTGTATGCAGTGTGTGTGTACTTGCAAGGTGTGTGTGTAGTGTATGCAGTGTGTGTGTGTAGTGTATGTAGTGTGTGTGTGTAGTGTACTGTGTTTGCAGTGTGTATGTATGCAGTGTGTGTGTAGTGTATGTATGCAGGGTGTAGTGTATGAAGTGTATGTAGTGTGTGTAGTGTACTGTGTTTGCAGTGTGTATGTATGCAGTGTGTGTGTGTAGTGTATGTAGTGAGTGTGAGTGTGTGTGCAGTGTGTGTGTGTGCAGTGTGTAAGCAGTGTGTGTGTGTGCGGTGTGTGTGTGAATAAGTGTGTATGTGTGTAGTGTATGCAGTGTATGTAGTGTGTGTAGTGTACTGTGTTTGCAGTGTGTATGTATGCAGTGTGTGTGTGTAGTGTATGTAGTGAGTGTGAGTGAGTGTGAGTGTGTGTGCAGTGTGTGTGTGTGCAGTGTGTAAGCAGTGTGTGTGTGTGCAGTGTGTGTGTGAATGAGTGTGTATGCAGTGTGTGTGTGTGTGCAGTGTGTGTGTACTGTGTGTGCAAGGTGTATGCAGTGTGTGTGTTTGTGTACTGTGTATGCAGTGTGTGTATGTATGCAGGGTGTATGCAGGGTGTGTATGTATGTATGCACTGTGTGTGTACTTGCAGGGTGTGTGTGTAGTGTATGCAGTGTGTGTGTGTAGTGTATGTAGTGTGTGTGTGTTTGTGTACTGTGTGTGCAAGGTGTATACAGTGTGTGTGTTTGTGTACTGTGTATGCAGTGTGTATGTATGCAGGGTGTATGCAGGGTGTATGCAGTGTGTGTATGTATGTATGCATTGTGTGTGTACTTGCAGGGTGTGTGTGTAGTGTATGTAGTGTGTGTGTGTAGTGTATGTGAGTGTGTGTATGTATGTACTGTGTTTGCAGTGTGTATGTATGCAGTGTGTGTGTGTAGTGTATGTAGTGTGTGTGTAGTGTATGCAGTGTATGTAGTGTGTGTATGTATGTACTGTGTTTGCAGTGTGTATGTATGCAGTGTGTATACAATGTGAATGTTTTGTATTGTGTGGGGTTGATGCTGAATTGCAATTTGTTGTGGTTGTTGGTTGCAGAGAAGAGGAGCATAAACGGAAGGCTAAGGCTAAGGCTACTGCATTACAGGTGTCCTTTAATTTCCCTTTTCACATGCAATGCCTAGCAATGATAGCAATCCTCATACTAGTGTTCTTAGACACATGTTTATAGATGTATAAAGAGTAGAACATTTTGAATATGATGCCTCGGGTTAATGAAAACTTTTTTTTTTTCAACACCACCTGTATATTTGTTGCCTCGGGTTAATGAAAAGTTTTTTTTTTTTCAACGCCACCTGTATATTTGTTGCCTCGGGTTAATGAAAACTTTTTTTTTTTTCAACGCCACCTGTATATTTGTTGCCTCGGGTTAATGAAAATTTTTTTTTTTCAACGCCACCTGTATATTTGTTGCCTCGGGTTAATGAAAAGTTTTTTTTTTTCAACGCCACCTGTATATTTGTTGCCTCGGGTTAATGAAAACTTTTTTTTTTTTCAACGCCACCTGTATATTTTGTTGCCTCGGGTTAATGAAAATTTTTTTTTTTTCAACGCCACCTGTATATTTGTTGCCTCGGGTTAATGAAAACTTTTTTTTTTTTTCAACGCCACCTGTATATTTGTTGCCTCGGGTTAATGATAACTTTTTTTTTTTCAACGCCATATGTATATTTGTTGCCTCGGGTTAATGATTTAGTTAATTTGTTTATTGTTTTTTTTTTTTTGTTTGGATAGATATGGATCGAAGGAAGCTTTTATTGATCTTATTGTTAGAGATGTCTTATTTGGAGACAATTTGTATTTGTACGATTCTTGTGGTGATGATGCTACGTGGCAAAACAGAGACATGTTGAACGACCCACATTGACTAACCGTTCACTTATTAGACGAGAGATTAGTTTGTGTTATCTGAATGGTATAATAGGGAATACTGATACTGAATGTGTTAACGAATTGAGAATGGATAGAAGGACTTTTGGCATATTATGCGACTTACTTCGTCAAGATGGGAGGGGTAAAAACTGATGGTTTGGTGTCTGTAGAGGAACAGGTGTGTATGACTTTACAAAATATTAGCACATCATACTAAGAATCGTAGTGTTGGCGGTAGATTTTATAGGTCGGGAGAGACTATAAGTAGGTATTTCAATAGCGTATTGCAAGGAATTTTGCGATTACAAGGTACCCTACTAAAAGTCCCCCAGCCTGTGCCTATTGATTCTACAGATGCTAGGTGGCGATGTTTTAAGGTATGATGAGAAATTTTTTTCATTTTCCCTAAGCTTTAACTCTTCATTCCCTTTGTATAAATTAACAAAAAGTTTATTATTTTTTGGTTTTTAAGAATTGCTTGGGAGCATTGGATGGAACACACATTGATGTGCATGTACCTGAAATTGACAAACCAAGATACCGAACAAGAAAGGGTCGAGTCGCAACTAATGTGTTAGGTGTGTGTTCAGGAGATATGCAGTTCATATATGTGTTTCCGGGGTGGGAGGGTTCCGCATCAGACTCTAGAGTGCTACATGATGCGATTAGTAGGCCTAATGGTTTTAAGGTACCAGCGGGTAAGACTATTACTTAGTCTCAACTTTGTAAGTTAGGTTTAGTTCTGTTTGTCAACTACAAAACACTAATAAGGTCTGTTTTTTTTTTCATTAGGTTGTTATTACCTTGTAGATGGTGGTTATACAAATGGTGAAGGATTCCTTGCACCCTATAGAGGAATACCTTATCATTTATCTGAATGGGAGGGACGAACACCTTCTAATAAGGAAGAATATTTTAACATGAAGCATTCTAAGGCAAGGAATGTAATTGAACGCTGTGTTTTGGCTTGCTAAAAGGAAGGTGGTCGATACTAAGGAGTCCATCTTTCTATCCGATAAGGACACAAGGTCGAATAATTACCGCTTGTTGCCTACTACACAATCTTATTAGGCAAGAGATGTCAGTAGATCCAATGGAGAATTTGCCAATAATAGAAGATGGACAAAATACAGAAGAAGGTGAATATGTTGGTAGTGTTCAAACATCGGACCAGTGAACTGCAATGAGGAATGATATGGCTCAGGAAATGTATAATGAGTGGAGAGCAATTAGGAACCAGCAACCGAACTAGCTATATGTTTTAATGATAACATTTTATTTTAGTATTCCTTTTTATCATGCATTTGTTAGATATTAGCACAATGATTGGATGGTATGCAAATTAATTGGATATTATGCAAGTTGATTGGATATTATGCAAGTTGATTGGATATTATGCAAATTGATTATTTGTATG